TTCAGTGAAAGATATCAACTTATTGTCCTTCAGTGAAAGAGAGAAACTTATTGTCCTTCAGTGAAAGATATCAACTTATTGTCCTTCAGTGAAAGAGAGAAACTTATTGTCCTTCAGTGAAAGATATCAACTTATTGTCCTTCGGTGAAAGAGAGAAACTTATTGTCCTTCAGTGAAAGATATCAACTTATTGTCCTTCAGTGAAAGAGAGAAACTTATTGTCCTTCAGTGAAAGAGAGAAACTTATTGTCCTTCAGTGAAAGAGAGAAACTTATTGTCCTTCAGTGAAAGAGAGAAACTTATTGTCCTTCAGTGAAAGAGAGAAACTTATTGTCCTTCAGTGAAAGAGAGAAACTTATTGTCCTTCAGTGAAAGAGAGAAACTTATTGTACTTATTGAAGTGTACACATATAAAGGCATTTGAATTTCCAACAACACAACAGCAAAAATATGGAAGGATAACATTTCAGTCATGTGTAACTTATTTTTGTTGTCTGGCTCAAATTGTTCCATCATTTATTATTGTAGGTACCTTCTACATTTCTTGTTTTCAAAACTTAACTGATTACCTCCCTTGTTCCACTGTCCAATTATTGTGCCAGCACCAGACTATATGAGTTCAAAGAATGATATCTATTTTTGTAGACAGACTTTGTGGTGTGTTGTGATGGAATTGGAAGACAAAACACCCGAAATATCAATTATATAAATATTGTTGAGAAAACAATGAAAAATGTAAAACTTTGGCATTCTAGGGGCTACATTGTCTATTTACAGTTACCACTGAGGAATCTGTACAGAAAAGAAAAATCATGATATTTCAATTTCAAAGATGAGGAAATAAATGAGCCAAATTGTATGGTTACTGATTAAACTAAAACAAGCAGGCATATTACAGGATATCATTTAATCAGGTAGTGCAAATGATGAATAAAGGGAGGTAAGTGTGAAAGTATTTAAAGCGATATCTCTGATGATGTCAGTATAGGATCTTTGTCTGAAAAAGACTAAATTTCAGGATGACAACCAAGATGTGTATAAAGGTAGACAACTCAGATTTTGCAATTCTTGGGATTTCTTGTTACCTAAAGATCAGATAAACCTACTGTATAATGATGAAGTTTTTTTATGATAATTAAGCATTTTTATAATAAATCTTTTTTTATGATAATAGATATTTTTTATGATAATAAATATTTTGTACAGTCTTTGAATGCCATAACAAACCCTCCTATTAATTAATCTATGTTACATCACATAACTGAAATATAATGTTTCAAAATTTTTATCAAAGTGATTTACATGAATTCTACTCCATCATATGAACCATTTTTTCTTGGTGTCCAAAATGAGATCTACTATTGTTCATTGAGCTGGTTCAGAAACTGAAATCTACCACCTTATTTGTAACTGACCATTTGTAGTGTGTACACCAGTGAAATAAGTTAAAACTTTTCTATAAAATTAAACTTATCTCCCAAACATTCTAATTAGGTATGTAAATTATGTTTACCTCATGAAGTTTTCATACTTCTGCCATTTTGATAAAAAAAGGAAAGAAAAAAAAGCACACAGTTTCAAATCTGTCCTTCCTTTTACATGTATACCAAAATTCCAAAGTCAAATTAAAAAAGAAAAAAAAATCACCTTGTAATTGTACTCAAGGAAAAGAGATGAAAAATAAAACATGGTAATTATTACAATTTACACAAAGCACCACTAGATATATGACAATATAATCATAAAACGTTTTAGCTGTAAAAGGTGGAACAAGCAGAATGTATAATCTAAATGGTAGAACTACTGGAACACATGATGCTGTACTGTCCTGTGTCAAAACTACTGGAACACATGATGCTGTACTGTCCTGTGTCAAAACTACTGGAACACATGATGCTGTATTGTCTTGTGTCAAAACTACTGGAACACATGATGCTGTATTGTCCTGTGTCAAAACTAATGGAACACATGATGCTGTACTGTCCTGTGTCAAAACAACTGGAACACATGATGCTGTATTGTCCTGTGTCAAAATTAATGAAACACATGATGCTGTACTGTCCTGAGTCAAAACTACTGAAACACATGATGCTGTACTGTCCTGTGTCAAAACTACTGGAACACATGATGCTATACTGTACTGTGTCAAAACTACTGGAACACATGATGCTGTACCGTCCTGTGTAAAAATAAATGGAACACATGATGCTGTACTGTCCTGTGTCAAAACTACTGGAACACATGATTCTGTATTGTCCTGTGTCAAAACTACTGGAACACATGATGCTGTATTGTCCTGTGTCAAAATAAATGGAACACATGATGCTGTACTGTCCTGTGTCAAAACTACTGGAACATATGATGCTGTATTGTCTTGTGTCAAAACTAATGGAACACATGATGCTGTACTGTCCTGTGTCAAAACTACTGGAACACATGATGCTGTATTGTCCTGTGTCAAAATAAATGGAACACATGATGCTGTACTGTCCTGTGTCAGAATAAATGGAACACATGATGCTGTATTGTCCTGTGTCAAAAGTAATGGAACACATGATGATGTACTGTCTTGTGTCAAAACTACTGGAACACATGATGCTGTACTGTCCTGTGTCAAAACTACTGGAACACATGATGCTGTACTGTCTTGTGTCAAAACTACTGGAACACATGATGCTGTACTGTCCTGTGTCAAAACTACTGGAACACATGATGCTGTACTGTCTTGTGTCAAAACTACTGGAACACATGATGCTGTACTGTACTGTGTCAAAACTACTGGAACACATGATGCTGTACTGTCTTGTGTCAAAACTACTGGAACACATGATGCTGTACTGTCTTGTGTCAAAACTACTGGAACACATGATGCTGTACTGTCTTGTGTCAAAACTACTGGAACACATGATGCTGTACTGTCTTGTGTCAAAACTACTGGAACACATGATGCTGTACTGTACTGTGTCAAAACTACTGGAACACATGATGCTGTACTGTACTGTGTCAAAACTACTGGAACATATGATGCTGTATTGTCTTGTGTCAAAACTAATGGAACACATGATGCTGTACTGTCCTGTGTCAGAATAAATGGAACACATGATGCTGTACTGTCCTGTGTCAAAAGTAATGGAACACATGATGCTGTACTGTCTTGTGTCAAAACTACTGGAACACATGATGCTGTACTGTCCTGTGTCAAAACTACTGGAACACATGATGCTGTACTGTCTTGTGTCAAAACTACTGGAACACATGATGCTGTACTGTCTTGTGTCAAAACTACTGGAACACATGATGCTGTACTGTCTTGTGTCAAAACTACTGGAACACATGATGCTGTACTGTCTTGTGTCAAAACTACTGGAACACATGATGCTGTACTGTCTTGTGTCAAAACTACTGGAACACATGATGCTGTACTGTCTTGTGTCAAAACTGTCTTTATTCTAAAAAATCATAATTTGTATAATGTATAAAAGCAAATAAAAAAGCATAATTGTAACAAATATTTCATATAATGTGCAAAAAATCAAACATCAAAGTTTAGCAACAGAAAAGCATTAATCAGCGATGATTTATCATCAGTAAAATCAGCAGAATTGAGAACATATGTACATTTTAAAAACAGTTACATATTAAGTGACAATTACAAACATATATAGCTTTAACAGATAAATACATATGTAGTCCCAACTTATTTATATATATACCTGTAAAAAGACTCCAAGTACAGCCTCCAATTACCTACATATATACACATATACATACACAGACTTAATATATACCTGGCTAACTGATTTCTGTGAACTGTGTTTTTTTGTATTATAAGGTAAATAGAAGATTCCGTTCAAATCATGATATTTACTGTCCAATAATGTTTGCTTTATTCAGTAAAGACTATGACACCAAATTTGAGCAACACAAAACTGAAATAAATTAGGGTCAAACTTCATTTTCTCAAACTCATATAATTTGAAGACCTTAAATTTTAAGTATGTCGACAGCCCCATGCATCATCATACCAAATATTCAAACGTATTTAAATCAAATACTCGGATATCTCCAAGTATTTCCATGGCCCTTCTTACTTTGAGCTATAATGAAGTTTGACTGCATAACCAAAATGTTGAACATTTGCAAATTCCAGCACAAGTGTTCAACAATTATTTCTGGACCCAACAGTAAAATCTGGCATTTATCAGTTATTACCCCTAGTATTGTATTTTTCAATTTTCTAAATTTAAGTCTGAAGAGATGTTGTTTCAATATTAATGATTATCTAACATTTAAAAAGACCAAAGTTGTTAATGAATTTCCTGGTGAATTTATCGGAGAACTTCTCTCCTACAGAAATAGATGATTCGCTATACTTCACGCTGGTCATACAACTGATTTGGACATCATGAATATTCTAATGATTATTTAATGGTGAATCTGTCACAACTTATTCTCACTCTTCATCAAATGTTTAATCCACATGATCTTCTTTATCAATTTGTCTAGACAGCAGTCTAGCAAAGTTATCTCCCTTCCTGTAATATTATGACGATGACATTTTTGGTTTTTCTTTTATCAATTTCATATTCCAAAATCTACATGTGCCTCTTAAAGAGTTCTTCAGTTATCTCAAAAATGAAAAAAAATATCATCTGTCGCCAACATGTGTTGAGGACATCATATGTAGGCCTTCCGAGTAAACCAAGGAGCTTGCTTCACATAAATTATCTATATCATCACACTTATTTACTTAAATACAATTGTCACGAAACACAAAAAAGAATTTATCCTTCTTTTTTTCATTTGAGTATAGAAAGAAATTCAGTAGGATAAAGATTTGGTAATCAAATTATGTGATAATTTATGATTCAACCTTTTTACAATTATTAACAAAACTGAAAAAATTTCAATCAAAAATATACATCTCTAAATTACTAATATTATGTAACATATACATCTCTGAATTCACGATGATAATCACCAGGAAAAAATTGGGTATTTTTTTTTAATTAGATTTTAAAATAAAACAGAGCTGAGATTTCAAGGAATTTTAGCTACAGATCGAGATAAAAGACGATTCTGGGTTAGAAATATTGAGTCAGAATTGTTCCATGGGACTAAATTGTATAAAATTGATATTTTCTAAAATCTTATTATATTGACTAGCGATACACCATTGATATTTACATACAAACACTGTTAAAGAAAGCAGAGAATTATTAACACAATATCATCCCATGGCATTAAACCTTGGTAACCGAGGCAACGTACAGCCATTTCATCACGAGCTGGCTTTGATGAACTTGCAGACCTTTTCATGCGCTCTCTGGCAGGATTCCTTAAAGTGACCTTGAAGGAAAGAGAACAAAATCAGGATTAAATCTTCAATCCAAGAAACATTGATATACTTTCTACAACAACAAAGTAAAAAATGCTTAAATTTCACAACATATGACATTTTCTTACAATACGTTACGTAATGAGTAGTGTTTAAGGTATTTCTTTCACTAAAATTCACTTTTGAAAGATTTTCAAAAATGTTGAGACTAACAGAAATATTGTACATAACAACCAGGGGCTTGTATGACCTGTTTCTAAAACAATACAGAAGTTCTGTACCAAAGTGAGTTAATAACATCAGTGTAATGATTTGACCTAGAGTAAAATGCTCTAACTAAAATAAAACACTGATTTCAGATATACACCGAAATATTATATCGGGTACTTCACTAACCCTAATACTAGTAATCAGTAAGAAACGGGGTTTTATTTTCAAAAATAAATCGATAGAAACCCACAAAAAAAAAAATCAAATTATTTCAAAAAGCTGTTGTGAACTATATATCTTGTACATTTTTATTTTGATTTCTGCAAGAGAGGTCAAAGTTCAAATTCTCAACCAATCAAAAGACCAGAAAGTCATAGACCACTACTATTATATATCATATATTTATCGATCATCATCACATTTACACAGTGGTCTGTGAGTGGAATAACACAACATATCGTGGTATAAATGTATTTATAATATCTGATACACAACAATATATGTTCTACCTTCATTTACTATATATGTTCTACCTTCATTTACAATATATGTTCTACCTTCATTAACAATATATGTTCTACCTTCATTTACAATATATGCTCTACCTTCATTAACAATATATGTTCTGTCATATGGAAATCTAAAATTTCTAGCAGAATTTTTTTTCTATCAATAACAATGATTTCCCATTGTGGTGTTTCAACAATTTTTCATGTAGTGATGACATTGCTGATTTGACTTGTAGGTTGGCAGTGGTACCAAGACTACTCATGTTTTTGTTGTATAAAAATTGCAAATTCATCAAAATAACAAAAATTTGGAGTCTATTGATTCACATTTGATATAAACTTTATCTATTGTGAAACCAGTTACTTCAATTTAAACTCATCACTCTCGTTGGCCTAAATGCAAGTGTGCAGGATGCTTTACTAAGGGAGGAAACTGGGGTACCTGGGGTGGGGGAGGGAAACCCACATGGTCAGTCAGGTGACCATTAACTATTCAGGTCTGCTCAGAGTATCAAACCTAGGACTTAACCACAGTGCCACCTAATAACCTAAATAATTTCTGGTTAAATCTGTAAATCTGTAGTAATAGTGATAACGATAACACAGATGAAATAAGCGACACGTATAAAATGTAACAAAAAAACACAATTTTTTTACCATTCTTTCTCAGAATCATCATTTTTTATTGACATTTTCAATAAAAAAATTACTGACTTACCTATGTAAAAATTCAAAATGTAAAAGTGTAAATCTACCCATTGGTAAGAACACTACAAATATAATTTTGACCAAAAGGAAACAAAATTATTGGGAAATAAAGTTAAGATAAACCTTTCACTCCCTGTCTTTTTATTCTAAACAAAATCAGTAGAGGGGTTTCATCAGATAACATTTGAAAATGATTTTTATTTCAAAATTAGTCGATGATGACCTTTCACTTTAACTGATGACCACCACATTCAAATCATGTATAGATATGGTGGTGTGATGTTAAGGATGTAAGTATGAAGTTTATCTAAAGTCTCATGATTAAATCTTGTACACAACCTTTTCACACATGGATGCACAGACAGACACACCCCACATATACAAACAGTGAAAGTCATTATCATATTGTATCGCTGTCTTTAACTGGAGAGAGGAGGGTGTGGTGGTCAGTAAAATAACCTTTAACCTTGACCTTACCTGGGAGATGGAAAAAGCCATGTGTTACTCCTCTCACACAAAATGTCTGTGACCTGATTCCTGCTGTCTTCAGCTTTTCATGGTACGCTGTAACAATCAAAGCACAGATATGTCTGTAATATGTGTTACAAGGGACAAAGCAGAGAGATGTCTGTAATATGTGTTACAAGGGACAAAGCAGAGATATGTCTGTAATATGTGTTACAAGGGACAAAGCAGAGAGATGTCTGTAATATGTGTTACAAGGGACAAAGCACAGATATGTCTGTAATATGTGTTACAAGGGACAAAGCAGAGATATGTCTGTAATATGTGTTACAAGGGACAAAGCACAGATATGTCTGTAATATGTGTTACAAGGGACAAAGCACAGATATGTCTGTAATATGTGTTACAAGAGACAAAGCAGAGAGATGTCTGTAATATGTGTTACAAGAGACAAAGCAGAGAGATGTCTGTAATATGTGTTACAAGAGACAAAGCAGAGAGATGTCTGTAATATGTGTTACAAGGGACAAAGCAGAGAGATGTCTGTAATATGTGTTACAAGAGACAAAGCAGAGATATGTCTGTAATATGTGTTACAAGGGACAAAGCAGAGAGATGTCTGTAATATGTGTTACAAGAGACAAAGCAGAGAGATGTCTGTAATATGTGTTACAAGAGACAAAGCACAGATATGTCTGTAATATGTGTTATGTCTGTAATATGTGTTACAAGGGACAAAGCAGAGAGATGTCTGTAATATGTGTTACAAAGCAGAGAGATGTCTGTAATATGTGTTACAAGAGACAAAGCAGAGAGATGTCTGTAATATGTGTTACAAGAGACAAAGCACAGATATGTCTGTAATATGTGTTACAAGAGACAAAGCAGAGAGATGTCTGTAATATGTGTTACAAGGGACAAAGCAGAGAGATGTCTGTAATATGTGTTACAAGAGACAAAGCAGAGAGACGTCTGTAATATGTGTTACAAGGGACAAAGAAGAGAGATGTCTGTAATATGTGTTACAAGGGACAAAGCAGAGAGATGTCTGTAATATGTGTTACAAGGGACAAAGCACAGATATGTCTGTAATATGTGTTACAAGGGACAAAGCACAGATATGTCTGTAATATGTGTTACAAGGGACAAAGCAGAGAGATGTCTGTAATATGTGTTACAAGAGACAAAGCACAGATATGTCTGTAATATGTGTTACAAGAGACAAAGCAGTGATATGTCTGTAATATGTGTTACAAGAGACAAAGCACAGATATGTCTGTAATATGTGTTACAAGGGACAAAGCAGAGATATGTCTGTAATATGTGTTACAAGGGACAAAGCACAGATATGTCTGTAATATGTGTTACAAGAGACAAAGCAGAGATATGTCTGTAATATGTGTTACAAGGGACAAAGCAGAGAGATGTCTGTAATATGTGTTACAAGAGACAAAGCAGAGAGATGTCTGTAATATGTGTTACAAGAGACAAAGCACAGATATGTCTGTAATATGTGTTACAAGAGACAAAGAAGAGAGATGTCTGTAATATGTGTAACAAGGGAGATAATTCTGATGTGACCATTCAACCATATTTCATATGTCAAGGAACATTTATTTCAGCTTATAAAAATAAAATCAGTTTTCAGGTTTTTATTAACAAATTCATCTTCGACATAGCAGACTTTTACACTATCATCAATGCCTGGTAATTACCCTCCTAATACCCTTATTGTGTCACACTGTAGATAACATCAGCGAGCGATAGTCTGGTTACTTATAGAATCAAGCATACCTGTAGTCTCTTTGATAAAGATAAAAGGAATCTTATGTCAGCTATAAGTTGAAGACAAGAATATCAGTCTAGAGCTAATTAGGTAATTATGTCTGTAACTAAATAAATAGTGTGTTTAAAGTCTTCTTTTTTCTCATTACCATAGTCTTCCAATAATCAGGGACAAGTCTGGCCAAAATACTTACCCATATGTACTAAAATAGGATTTCCTTGACCTACACCGAGCTCACTTCTCCACTCGGAGTCAGAGGTGATGTATTGGCCCAGCACTTTTTTTTATGGAAATAAGCCCACCCTATAACTGAGTTGAGGTAATGTGTTGGAACCCCAGGACATTTTCACCGCAATATGCCCATTCTTGACAGAGTCAAGGTAATGTGTTCACTTACGAGCCAATGACTGAGTTGAAGTAATGTGTCACGCCTCCCCTCCCCCTCCCCCCTCTCATATTTTAATGACATATTAGAAGTAATGTAAATTGTATCAATCATAAGACTTGAAACAAAGACGGCTGCTAGGAATCTACCACAACCTGCCGATGAGTTCCTCACAGATTTACTTACCATAACCTGCATCTTTAAGAACATCAAATTCTGCTAAGATGATCAGCGCAGGTGGCAGACAGTTAAACTTCTCATTTAGAATAGGTGATGCTAGAACTGTCTCCCTATCAGAATCATCAATGTAGTTTTTAGAGAACCTAGAAATGCATCAACATTTCATCTTATACATGTTTTCTAGCATTGAGAGGAAAACAATGCATAACTTAAAATCAGATTAAAGAATTGAATTAATATATATTGAAATATGTTGAAAACAAAAAACAAAAACACAGAAGTATCATTGATATTTACACAATATTTTCAGACAAGTTCAGAACACCATTCTCAAAATATCAATACTAATATTGTCATAGAAAAGAGACCAAACATTGCTGATTCAAATATATGTGCAATGATGGCCACTGACAAGGATTTCAATTTTAACCTTGACCTTTTAAGCCATTTAAATTGTGACCTTGACCCTTAAAACCTGATTGACCTTGACTACATACCACTGAGTCATCTCTTTAGAAAGTCCTGGGAAGTTTTCAAATTCTTCCTGAGATGGATACTGTTTTCTATAGTCTACATTAGGGTACACCAATACCTGTAAGGAAAACCAGATTTCATAAATAACCTAGTACAAGTGTTGTATAAGAATATTGATAAAGTTTTCATACAATACATAGGTCCTTCCTTCAGCATGCTCACAACCAAATCCCTTTAAAGCCTCAACATACTGTGAATCAGTTATATTAAATGTGGGTTTGAATTCCGCGTTAATATGCAAGGTAAGTCAATTGTGAATGCAAATCCCTTGTGATTATTTGTACACAAATAATTCTTGATATCTGATTATGTTACTGATATCAGAGTCCATATATCTCATACAGCATTGTTCCCGTGCATTGTACTTAATATATGAAACAACTCAAACATGGTACAAAAGTTCCCACAAATAACTTTTAATAAAATTTTAGAGCTAGATACAACAGAGCCAAACAATGAAGTAAACTGCATCATACAGCTGTTTTCCTCCTTCTAGGACTCGTCAGTGATTCCAAGGGCCTAAAGATTGAGGCCTAGGAGGCGACTGAGGAAATTCCAAGGTGATCCAAAGAAAAGTCAAAATCCAGATGAAGAGGTGCTCAATGCTTCAATAAATTTTGTAGTTTTCATACACAAGATAATTTTAGAACATGTCAAATACCTATGTATATTCTGAACTGTGGCAGTATTCAGATGAATTAAAATATGTCATGCTCAAATAGATCTTACTATTCACAGGAATCCTATAAACAGCCATTTATTTCAGGCAGACATTATCACAGATCATTGATCCATATTACCATGTACAACCCTGGTAAATATAATATACCACCTGAACTCAATGATTTGAGTGTAAAACTAGCTAGCCACAGGTCCCAGGTTTGATCTGAACCAGAGATATTGAAATAAATAATTACCTCTGTTACAATATATACCAGTTTGTGTACATGTATGCACAATGAAAGTTTTCTTTAAGACTGAGCTTTAATATTTGTACAATTTGCACATGTGTATACATGAATATTGATATACCATATATTGAGATATTTTTGGAATGAGCAATTTTTATGAAAATCCTCAAAATTTATCAATTTTAATTGTTGCATATTTCATTTTTCATGCACTTTCATTGTCACAGAAAACACACCTAAAATTCCTAGAATAACTTACCTTTGTTTGTACACATATATAAATAGAACAGAAAACACACCTAAAATTCCTAGAATAACTTACCTTTGTTTGTTTGTAGGCATATATAATTAAATAAATAACCCTTGAAAAATGAAGAATTGCTACACACTTGATATCAGTCCCTTTTCCACAACCTCAGACTTACCAATATTCACAAGCTGTGCAATTCCTGTTTTTATGAAGCCATAGATTACATATCAAACAATATCAAATTTCACATTGCGTGTTTGTTTTTTTTTGTTTTGATTTTTTTACACGATTTTGACAGCCACTAAATTTGCAAGCATTAAAAAGGAGCACAAAATCCTTGATATATGATAATGTAGTATAATTCTTATGACGAAAATATTTTCAATTTTCTAAACAAAGTAACACCATAACCATGACCCTTGACCTATAGCCCTTCTTTTCTAGATATTTTGTAATTCCTTTTAGTAAGTTCAGATCCAACAGGAAGTTTGATTTTCAGTAGACTTTTTGAAAGTGATCAAATTACATTACAAACACAGAATGTAAATGTTTTCACAGAGACTGAAGGATAAAAAAATAGGTTCCTCTAAACAGCCACAATCCTGGTAGGAGCCTAGAAAACAAATACTTATAGATATCTAAACTCTGAGACATACAGAGGCTGGATGTACCTGATAGTCAAACTTAGATAGATACAGAGGCTGGATGTACCTGATAGTCAAACTTAGATAGATACAGAGGCTGGATGTACCTGATAGTCAAACTTAGATAGATACAGAGGCTGGATGTACCTGATAGTCAAACTTAGATAGATACAGAGGCTGGATGTACCTGATAGTCAAACTTAGATAGATACAGAGGCTGGATGTACCTGATAGTCAAACTTAGATACAGAGGCTGGATGTACCTGATAGTCAAACTTAGATACAGTGTACCAAAAACTTAGATAGATACAGAGGCTGGATGTACCTGATAGTCAAACTTAGATACAGAGGCTGGATGTACCTGATAGTCAAACTTAGATAGATACAGAGGCTGGATGTACCTGATAGTCAAACTTAGATACAGAGGCTGGATGTACCTGATAGTCAAACTTAGATACAGAGGCTGGATGTACCTGATAGTCAAACTTAGATAGATACAGAGGCTGGATGTACCTGATAGTCAAACTAAGATAGATACAGAGGCTGGATGTACCTGATAGTCAAACTAAGATAGATACAGAGGCTGGATGTACCTGATAGTCAAACTTAGATAGATACAGAGGCTGGATGTACCTGATAGTCAAACTTAGATACAGAGGCTGGATGTACCTGATAGTCAAACTTAGATAGATACAGAGGCTGGATGTACCTGATAGTCAAACTTAGAAACAGAGGCTGGATGTACCTGATAGTCAAACTTAGATAGATACAGAGGCTGGATGTACCTGATAGTCAAACTTAGATAGATACAGAGGCTGGATGTACCTGATAGTCAAACTTAGATAGATACAGAGGCTGGATGTACCTGATAGTCAAACTTAGATAGATACAGAGGCTGGATGTACCTGATAGTCAAACTTAGATAGATACAGAGGCTGGATGTACCTGATAGTCAAACTTAGATAGATACAGAGGCTGGATGTACCTGATAGTCAAACTTAGAAACATACTTAGAAACAGAGGCTGGATGTTCCTGATAGTCAAACTTAGATACAGAGGCTGGATGTACCTGATAGTCAAACTTAGATAGATACAGAGGCTGGGCTGGATGTACCTGATAGTCAAACTTAGATAGATACAGAGGCTGGATGTACCTGATAGTCAAACTAAGATAGATACAGAGGCTGGATGTACCTGATAGTCAAACTTAGAAACAGAGGCTGGATGTACCTGATAGTCAAACTTAGATAGATACAGAGGCTGGATGTACCTGATAGTCAAACTTAGATAGATACAGAGGCTGGATGTACCTGATAGTCAAACTTAGATAGATACAGAGGCTGGATGTACCTGATAGTCAAACTTAGATAGATACAGAGGCTGGATGTACCTGATAGTCAAACTTAGAAACAGAGGCTGGATGTACCTGATAGTCAAACTTAGATAGATACAGAGGCTGGATGTACCTGATAGTCAAACTTAGATAGATACAGAGGCTGGATGTACCTGATAGTCAAACTTAGATAGATACAGAGGCTGGATGTACCTGATAGTCAAACTTAGATAGATACAGAGGCTGGATGTACCTGATAGTCAAACTTAGATGGATGTACCTGATAGTCAGAGGCTGGATGTACCTGATAGTCAAACTTAGATAGATACAGAGGCTGGATGTACCTGATAGTCAAACTTAGATAGATACAGAGGCTGGATGTACCTGATAGTCAAACTTACAGAGGCTGGATGTAGATAGATACAGAGGCTGGATGTACCTGATAGTCAAACTTAGATAGATACAGAGGCTGGATGTACCTGATAGTCAAACTTAGATACAGAGGCAGAGGCTGGATGTACCTGATAGTCAAACTTAGATAGATACAGAGGCTGGATGTACAGATAGTCAAACTGGATGTACCTGATAGTCAAACTTAGATAGATACAGAGGCTGGATGTACCTGATAGTCAAACTTAGATAGATACAGAGGCTGGATGTACCTGATAGTCAAACTTAGATAGATACAGAGGCTGGATGTACCTGATAGTCAAACTTAGATAGATACAGAGGCTGGATGTACCTGATAGTCAAACTTAGATAGATACAGAGGCTGGATGTACCTGATAGTCAAACTTAGATAGATACAGAGGCTGGATGTACCTGATAGTCAAACTTAGATACAGAGGCTGGATGTACCTGATAGTCAAACTTAGATAGATACAGAGGCTGGATGTACCTGATAGTCAAACTTAGATAGATACAGAGGCTGGATGTACCTGATAGTCAAACTTAGATAGATACAGAGGCTGGATGTACCTGATAGTCAAACTTAGATAGATACAGAGGCTGGATGTACCTGATAGTCAAACTTAGATATGTACCTGATAGTCAGAGGCTGGATGTACCTGATAGTCAAACTTAGATACAGAGGCTGGATGTACCTGATAGTCAAACTTAGATAGATACAGAGGCTGGATGTACCTGATAGTCAAACTTAGATAGATACAGAGGCTGGATGTACCTGATAGTCAAACTTAGATACAAACTTAGATACAGAGGCTGGATGTACCTGATAGTCAAACTTGTACCTGATAGATACAGAGGCTGGATGTACCTGATAGTCAAACTTAGATAGATACAGAGGCTGGATGTACCTGATAGTCAAACTGGATGTACCTGAGATAGATACAGAGGCTGGATGTACCTGATAGTCAAACTTATAGATACAGAGGCTGGATGTACCTGATAGTCAAACTTAGATAGATACAGAGGCTGGATGTACCTGATAGTCAAACTTAGATACAGAGGCTGGATGTACCTGATAGTCAAACTTAGATAGATACAGAGGCTGGATGTACCTGATAGTCAAACTTAGATAGATACAGAGGCTGGATGTACCTGATAGTCAAACTAAGATAGATACAGAGGCTGGATGTACCTGATAGTCAAACTTAGATAGATACAGAGGCTGGATGTACCTGATAGTCAAACTTAGATACAGAGGCTGGATGTACCTGATAGTCAAACTTCGATAGATACAGAGGCTGGATGTACCTGATAGTCAAACTACGATAGATACAGAGGCTGGATGTACCTGATAGTCAATGACAGTCCTTAGTTGTTGTGCCACCACAGCCGCCAGTCTGCCCCCGGCACTGTGACCTCCGACCCCGACTGTACTATCATTGACGGCGCCTGAGAAACAGAAAGCATGCAAGTAAGAAAAAACCTACCTGGTAACCTATAACACTGTGTAGCTGGTGAGCTACAGTGGCCGCAAGCTGTCCCCCCGCACTGTCTCCGCCTACACCCACGGTACTGTTGTTGACAGCACCTAATACATATAGAAAAACTAGTTTCACAAAACCAACACATATTTACAAGGCATGCATGTACAACATTAGCATACACTGTTGGCTTGGAAACAGAGTTATACTTTTGGATTTAGAAAATTCAGTGTGAAATCCCGTGTGAATTAAACACAGTAATTTTTTCCAGTTTCAAAAAAAATATACTGAAAATTAAAAAAAAAAAACTACATTTTTTTTAATGTAAAACTATTGTCAATGATAAGAGGTCAGTACGCATGCTGATTTTGAAAACTGCCGTGCATCATAGAGACATGAAAACAAATAACAACCACATGAATATGCCAACACATCAAAATGGCTGAGGAATTTACTTGTTAAAAATCAATAACTAATTTTACAGTGTTTCTGAAATGTAAAGAAAAATCTACAAAAATATCAGAGACATTAATTATTCATTAAAATATTGAAACACATAGAATTAAATTTAGAGGCAAAGTGTTTCATCTTTTCTGTTTTTCTAAATTCGTTTTGTCTATTGGAAAACAAATCTGAGGAAGTATTTTTTAACTCTGATAAATATTTGAATCCTAGAAATATCTGTTTTAAGACAACCTAGACACAATGAAACATCAGTTCCTGTTTTTCTCTTTAATATTTATTTACCTAGTAGAGACTTATTCATGGTTACCCAGCGTACCACACACTTGGCATCATCGTTACTGGCAGGAAAGCGATGTTCTGGTCCCAGGCGATATTCAACATTAACAACCACACATGGGGCATCTCTGTAAAAGATAACTTGATGTCAAATTCAACTTATTATCACTTTTTCCTGTGACAAATGAAACGTGATATTAAGCACTTTCCATTCTATAAATATGTTTATGTAACACCTTGTGACAAACTTAACCGTACTTTCCTTTCATCTGCTTCCATCTGGGACTACAAAAATGATCAATACATGTTGATTCAATTTACTCTGCAATTGTTGTGACATAGATCTCAACAGATTGCTGATTCAAAGGGGTCTTGACATCAAAACATTTTATGATCCTTATTGGTTCTAGAATAGTAGCTTTTCCCTCTTTCTCCCTTTGTGCCTCTTACTGATATTTTCCCTTAAAGTGTTAGTGTATCGTTTTATAAGATTTAAATAAGAAAGACATTAGCACCTAAATAAGAAAATGTCGAAAACCGCATGTAAATTGATTCACTACGACCGATGATATGGCCTGTCAATCATCCCAGTTTGCACCTGACTGGTAAAGCCAATCAGAGTGTAGCGGATATGTGTGTAGTGTAGTGCACATGAAATCGTGACGTCACAAGGTGAACACATTCAACATGGATGCCTACAGCGATAGTGGAAGCGATGGGACAGAAGACTCACAATCAGATTGCGACCTTCATATGGGATACTCTTCTTCTGATTTTGAAGTGGAGCATTCTGAAGGTATTCGACCTTATCGTTTTGAGCCAGAGCTAGGAAGTGACGACGATGAAGAAAGCGGCAATCGAGGACCGCTTGGGCTCAACCGAATGGTACGTAGACCTATATTAAGGCCCAATATAAGAATACCTTGATACTTACGGCCTTTTAATGGCCAAAGTATTTTTATTGAGCCTTAAAATTTTCGTTAAACGGAACCGTCAACTTTGCCTTCATGTATATTATAACATAACTTAACCAGGCAACATAAAACTATATCGCTGGACGAGTAATCTCGTCACTACGAACTTGGTCGGCTTGCCCATAAAGGATATGCGATGTTGTTAACCTAACATCTATACTGAGTATATATTTTTCCATCTATAAATTATCAGTTATTATTATATTAATTATTCTGTCAATAAGAATATATATAGGCCTGATCTCAATCTCTACAAAATATGTTATTGTGTACCAATGGTAATGTTGTTTGGTGAGTTTTGTAGGGAAAATATCCAGAGCATCTTGACAGAGGAAGTTGTATCTGCTCAAAAATAAATATTAAAATCCATCTACACCATTTGAAAACTACTAAATTCTGCTTGGAGCAAATAAGTTAACTAGGAAGTAAACACAGATTAGACTTCAGAGCAGCATGGAGAAGCTGCAAATCCACTTGGGACAAACACAGATTATGTTTTAGTGTTTTTTTGTTATATTTAATCCTTCACAAGGACAAATCAACTTTATTTCATATAAATATTCCTGTTGACAAAATATCCTTTGACTGATGTGATGAACACATGAAATAACACCTAGAATATCTAATAAAAAAAATAAGGGCAATCCAAAAAATCAGTATTTCTGGGAATTTATTTGGTTTTAGAGTAGAACTACTCTGTAACAAATATAACTTTCAATACCAAACAACTTTCAATAACAAATGCAATTTCCAATAACAATCTCTAACAATGCTTATGCGTTAAACATAATTCAGAATGACTATTTTACAGGTGCAAATGTGAAAACTGTCGAGAGATGCCAACAGTCCCTGAAAGTATTTGTTGCACTGAAATTGCACAGATCCAACACATCAAGAATGAGTTTCCACACCTGAACTGCATCACACAGCACCCTGGATTTCCTTCTGTTTGCCTAGATGTGTATGTGTTGCGTACAGCATATCAAGCCTTTAGACAGTACCATAATGGCAACATACCCGATGGTCCAGCGTAAGTAATAGCTATCCATTGAATGTTACATGTATATGATGTGAAATATCATACAGAGATTTGTGATTATCTGACAATTTGTTTGTTTTTCCCCTTATAAAACCTCATCTATTATTGGACTTTTGCAGTAAGAATACCAAACAAGTTCAAGTGCTGAGACTGAAAGACACCTGTGAATTATAATTTATTATAATTTATAATACCAAAATGAAAACATGACAATGCATCTGTATTTCTTGTTTATCTTTTTTCAGGCGAAACCGCTACACTGCCTACCGACAGTTTGTCCGATGGTGCTGGGGTTTTCTGGGGCGAAATGTACGAGTCCCACTTCCAGCATGTGCTGTAAATCTCATACGACAGACATTCCCGCCTGGTGATGGTGAAGAATTGAGGGGTTTCAATTATGGAGACTGAATGAAAAGTATGGTTTTGTGAATGACTAGTTTCAAGCGAAACGGGATTGGACTGATGACACAGCTTCTAGTTTTGAAGGCCGTTCAAAGGTGCTGCATAGTGCTGGAGGTGCATCCATCAGGACATCTTGTGTTTTAGTCATTCTGGTGTTTGTTGCCTTGTTGACTGTTATTTGTAGCAGCTCTTGAACGTAATCTGTCATTAAAAAAAGAAGACATTTCAATGGATTGTTGCCTTTAATTTATGTGTAGTGCCGGTCACTGCCGGTGTCATGCATAATATGTAGCCCCCGACCAAAATGTAATCGGATACTTTTTATTCCTACATAAAACATACCCCCATTGCTTAAAAGGTAACCCCCTACCCAAAATCTTCAATTTTATTTTTTTTCCCAAACTGAATAGTGAAGTTATGAAAAATGACCCAGGGGTTCCCACGATTTAGTATACTTACCGAAAGTTGGCTCCATTTTCACTTCACGGACTGTGTATTCTCCTTTCTTGTGTTTGGGATACACAATGTTGTAACAAGTGTTACCATCTTTGGTGACTGCTGGGTCCCTGCCTCCATTTTCATTGTAATGAAGGGCACCGAGTAGAAGTCTGCAATATAAACAAGAAAATAATCAGTACAGTAGTTAACAGAAGTTCAATTTGAAGTTTGAAAACTAGAAAACATATGTTAGACATAAATGCGTTTGCTCTGGCAAGGTTTTTGATGATTATTCTATAAATAGCATGTCAGAGGTTTACTGATATGTTACACATATCTAGTTCGATTAAAACCATGAAGGAATATTTTTGCTTCTAATGTGACATTTACACTCATTAGGATAATATTCAATGCACAAGATTGGTAAATAATAGTGATACAAATAAGTATCAATTTTAAACCTTACCTGCATACCATCCCATAATAGGAGAAGCCATGCATTTTTGGTGCGAAGTGGTTGATGACAGAGTGATATCCTTCCAACTCTGATGTCTGTTGGTTGGTCGAAAGCATCGGAATATCCATCTTCATCTGTCGGTTGTCCAGGATAGGCAGCAATTTCTCCAAGCTCTTTGTGCCTGAAAGTAATGTATCATCATAAAACTCAGAAAGCATTGAGATTCATAAAGAACTTAATTGACAAATATGATTTTATTTCTTTTGTTTTTATTCAAATAAATTTCTTTTTGTAATTATTTATTTTTTCAACTTTATTTGTTTTTTAAATTGGCCCAGATGTTAGCTCCCGTGGAAATTCATGGGAAGAGGATACTGAAGTGCTCAGAGAAAACCAATGTGGTCAGGCACTTCCTGTTTAAAATACATGATAAAGTCTGAAAAGATTCAATTTTTTTAAGCAACAGATTATTCTAGTGTTGTAGCAGTGCACATACCTGGCTTCAGCCATCGTTTTCTTCGTTCCAGTCCAGTGAGGTCAGGATGCAGGCACTTGGGAAACTTCTTACCATGGCCCTCATGGATGTTTTGTATATGGTTTCCAAGTGACTGCCATTTTTCCATCATCAAATCTTTATCTGCATCTGGTGTGGATGCTGCCACCCAGTATAGATGGTTGGTAATACTTCTGATCCAGGTGCTCAGCTCTCCACAATCTTTCTCCTTTGACAAGGCCAACACTTTCTTCTTAAGTCCTAGAAATAAAAAGCGTCAATTTGTTTTCCAAGCTTTCAAAAATGTCAGTTTTCTTTGTCGAGCAAAGAATATGTATAAATGACCAATGTCTTGTATCGAAACTGCTGATAGCAATTCACTACGTCCAAGTTGTAATTATTATAGTTCCCTCAAGCACATGTATACTTGAGTAGTAACATTGGAGCAATATTTAAATTATTTTACACTCTATGACAATTACCTTTAGCTACATGCCACACATCTACACAGTGTTTGGTGTCGGTCATGTTCTCTCTCACCCACTTTCTAATTTGAACATGGCGGTCAGTGACAATGGTGTGGATGTCGATGTCATGATCTTGTAGGAAAGCAATGCTGCGTGACAGTCCCTCTTTTTCCATATGACAGCTACTCTTCACTTCATTACTCTAAAATGGAGACAGCTTAATATTACAACTATTTATAAGTCTTGTGATCATGATCAACACAGGTGAAGTCCATGTAACTTAAGTTCTAAAACAACCACATTTCATTTGAATATCTGCGGGTATCTGAGATAGCGAAGAAAAAGAACAAAGTTGTGTACTTGTAAAATAAATCACAAAGAAAACCTAATATTTTACCATAAATAGGCTAAATAAGAGTATACATATAAGAGTATACAATCACCTTTAGGCAAAAGTATTCTCATTTTTTAACCATTATGTGTAAAGTTTGATTGAGACAAAACTAAATATCTGGGGAAAGGAGGCAGTGTTTGGAATATGGACACAAGCATATATGGTAAACCAAGGTTTCTCTCCCCACCCACTCACCTTTATAACTGTTTATAATATTACATTTAATTACCTGCACTAACTGCACATCAATGACCTGTCCTTGGTCCAAGTCCATGACTGAGTAGCTGCCAAACTTTGCTGAGTGGCCCGGTGTGTCACAACGACCATCTCCACCAATACATATGGGACGGTTGTTTCTTTGTATTTCTTCAAGATACATCCTCTGTCGCTCCTTCCACAAATCCACAATTGCAGGCTGCAAGTAGTTCCTCTGGTGCTTTATGAAAGTTTCCTTGGAAATGGCTGGACAATTCATAAAGTCAAATATCCTAAGGGTCTTGGCTGGAAGGGAACCAGAGAAAAGAATCCCACATGAAAGCTTCAGGTTCCCCAGAGGAATACTCCCTACCAGTGGCTGGCTATTCCACAACCTACTGTGTCCACAAACACCACAGT